TAATATATGTATAATCAACTATTAATAAAAGAGATAGAGGATAAACCTCTCTTTAAAAAAAAAAAAAAAAAAAAATAATTTTACAGATTTTCATAAAATTAGACTTTAATAAACTTGATTACTAACACAATTGCCTAAGTTAAAAAAAAATTCATCAACAAGTTTATTTTGAAGAGTTTATTTTACAGACAATTCATTTTATAAACAATCTTTAACAGTGAATAACTTCTGATCAATTGGTTCTTTTTAGATAATTTACTTATCAAAATGATTGACTTGATAAGATGATTCTTTTGATAAATTATCTAAAATAAATTATTAGATTAGAAGTTATTTACTGTTAAAGATTATTGATAAACTATCTGTAAATTAATCGTCTTCAAAATAAACTTATCTATGAATTAATTGTTTATAAAATAAAATGTCTGTGAAATGATTTTCTATAAGATAATACGTATCCGTTTTAAACTGGAGTGGTTTATATGTTTTATTATAGTTTGGAGTGCTTCATTAATAACCTTACTTAAAAGCTTAAATTTACGTCAGGGGTACTAAGCAAAAATGTTCGGAATCCCCAAAAACTAACCCTAACTAAAATTTGGTTCTTTATATCTGGCCCAACTTACCCTAAAACTGCACCCTAACTCAAAAATAGGAGGCGGTGAACATCGCCGGTTATTTGTAGTAAAAATCGTATATCAAGAATAATCTACATAACTTCTACCTTTAAAATACTATTTTTTATATTTAATTAAATTGGCTATACTATATATAAAAATTCTAAAATTTTATTTAAACTATCTTTATATTTCAATACTTTAAACAGATTTTTGATTATTTTTCAAGTCCTAGTTATAAAATTTTATTTTTATAAAAATGTATAATAATTTGAATATTTCACAAATCTTTTAATTACATACAAAATAAAAAAACATGTAATGCTATCAAAATATTTTCTTATTATAATAAATTATTTGTTCATAAGGATGATATTTAATAAATCATCCAAACGAATCAATGTTGCTCAAATTCAATTTTAAGATGTAGTTTCCCGTTTCCCCCATTTAATAAATCTACCCAGCAGTCTTTGGTGTAATTACCAGGCTCAATATGTTCCCATAAATTTAAGTAGTATTCGCCAATGGTAACGTCCTTACCAATCGTATTGTAATCTCTAACTTGAAGCAGAATCGGTGAGGGAGAACTAGTAAGATTTGGTATATATACCTGTTCGTCCCTGTTAGCAAGTAACGAATATTTAATTGATTGTCTTAATCAATAACCACACAAACTTACCTTAATACCGTAGAAACCGTATACAAATCCTGGTCAGGTACATTCCACCCACTTAAAACCCATAATAGGCCTGTAGGTCTGTTATATGAAAATTGGATTTTTATGCGAGAAATCTGGTATTAGGCAATATAATAACAAATACTTGGTTGATGTAATGTTGCATATACCAGGATTTCTCTCATCCTGCAAATGCTTTGAAATGTACTGGACAGGTTTAATTCATGGCGGATCTACCTTGTATACAATTTTTACGGCATTAAATTTTTTCGACAAACCTACCATCTTGGTGTCAATGTTTTCTTAATGACTGCTGTTTTATGTTGATCATTTTTATTAATACGAACTCTCACATATGGATCGCTCGTGCCTAAATTTAAGTTAGTGTCAATATTCCAGTAAAATGGTTCAATTTAAACATTATAATTTGTTTTTTTTTTTTTTTTTTTTACCTCCTCTATCATTTGCAATTAAGTCTTTAGCCTCAATGAGATGCAAAGTTAGATTTCCAGGTACACCAGCAGCTTTATCAATTGTAAAAGAAAAAAAAATTAAAATAAATGGTATATAACAGTAATATCTATCATAAGGATAATACAACAATTTTAATTTCTAACAAATGTTATATAAGACTTTAAACAAATTTAAAATGCGTTGTATAAAAAATATCAAAAATTATTGTATGTAATTTTAACTAACGGAGACTTACCAGAAGAATTTTCTATTCAGCCAGTTTCCATCCCACCTTACAAACAAAAAAAGTTAAAACTCCTGAAAAAGATTCAGAAAAGGAT